TACTCATTCTCCTTCGAGTTATCTACTTGTTCTTACATGTACAGTGTGTAATATTAGGGGCAATGTACTATGTGTGTCATGTGATGGGATTCAAGTTGTCTACCCATCCTTACATGATCTGTATATGTTGGACTGGACAAGGATTAAGAAAATAAGTTTAGGGTTAGAATACCAGACAAGGGATCTCAGCATGGCATAGCTACTTCGAACGGATTTTGGGGCTGGGGTGTGACCGTATGAGTCATGTTATAGATATGATGCAAATGTTAAGTGACTAATGTTAAAACATATATCTTCTCTAACAAGAGGACACATGATATTAACATGAACAACACCAATACTAACAAAAATAGATCCTATGTTTGGCGTTGAACTATTCCTATGATAAGGGCAAGATAAATTCAGAAACATATCAATGGGAAAGAGATGACATCATCATTATTATCGCCACTTCCTACGCCGCTCCTTGAACTTGTTGGAATTTAGTAGGTGAAACAAAGTGATTTTATTAGATTTGGAGGAAAATAGTACATGGCTTAGTGTAGGCTAATTGGTCTCCTTAATTTTTTTTGGCTTATTGGCCATCACACTTGATTTAGATTAGTTTGGGCTATTTGGCCCTTCACTTAGATTGGTGAGCTCATTGGCTCCCTCAACATATCTTTATTGGTAGCTCTTGGCTCCCTTATAGTTTGGGAGTTCTTTTTTGTTGGACTCCCCATATATTTGGGTTGGGTAGCTTTTTGGCTCCACAATGTATGACCTCATGTATGTCTATTTATAGACATGATCCACCGCCATTCCTTGGTCCACCGACTTGGCAGATTAACCCTAGTGTTGTGTAGATACAGCTGCACCAAAATGGATTCAGTTGCATCCTCAACTTGTGATACTCGCAAGTGCACGAGCCGTTTGGTAGTATAGCATATGTAAGTGCGAGGTCGATCCCACGAGGATTGGTGATTGAATGATCCAATTCATTTTCCCTATACAAAATAGAAACAAAAACAAAGAACATGAAAGAAGGAAAAAAGAAAATAAGAAAGTAACTCAAGCAAATAAGTTCCCAAGTTCAATTAGATTAATGGATTGATTCTAGCTAAAGTATGGTTAAGCCATGGTGTGTGGTCATAACCTTGTGTTCCTAATTCCCTAATTTGATCATTTGTTGTCTAACCTAAAATTAAGCATTAGGAACCCATTAAGCATAGAAGAACAATTTAAACAAC